CGTGACTCTTGGCTTAGCCTTCCTTGGTCTAGTTTGACTTACAAATACCCCAAAATTTGCTTATAAATCTTCTCCATGTACTAGGATGTGAAATATGGCAAAACAACACAACTTAGCATAAATGGGCAAATGAAAGTGCATTTTCAAGACAAATGGTCAAGAAACGATTAAGAATAAGGGTAAAAATATGTAGAATTAATCATGTATCACATAGCTAACACATTTTACTGATGGAGTTCTTCTTCTTCATCTTCCTTGGCCCGCTCTAGTTCGTCCTCCTCTGATGGAGAGTCTTCGGAAGCCTCAACTCACCAGCCATTTGGAGCTGACGTGGTGCCTCCTCTTTGGCGCTCCACCAGCGCGACCAAAGGTCAGCCACCCACACGTCTGACTAACTTTGTTGCCTTTGCCATGTCCCATATTCCTATTCCTGCTACTTACAAACAGGCACATGGTAATCCCCATTGGGATAATGCGATGAATATTGAGATTGATGCCCTTGAGGCTAGTCATACTTGGGATGTGGTCGATCGTCAGTCTGAATACCCTGTCATTGGTTCTAAGTGGGTATACAATATTAAGTTGCATCCTGATGGCTCAATTCAGCGCTATAAAGCACATGTGGTTGCTCAGGGATTCAAACAGGAATTTGGTATTGATTATGAGGAGACCTTTGTTCCAGTGGCGAAGATGTAGACGGTTCGTGCTCTTCTTGCGATAGCTGCGTTATGGGGATGGCAGTTGAAGCAACTGGACATAAAAAAAATGTTTTTTTGTATGGTGATCTTAAGGAGACTATTTATATGGAGTGTCCACCTGGCTATTTGAACGGTGATAAGACTAAGGTTTGTCATCTGCGTCTCTCTCTCTATGGTCTGAAACATGCTCCTCCCGCATGGTTTGAAAAATTCCATGCAACTATTTGCTCTGCTGGGTTTATTCATAGGGATAACGAGTAACGACCCATCCCTCTTCATGCGTCGGACATCTCGAGGTCTTACAATTCTCCTTATTTTTGTTGAAGATATGGTCATTAGTGGGGATGATGTTCAGGGTAATCGGTCGTTAACTCAGACGTTACACTCTTCGTTTAATCTTAAAGGAGCTTGGTGATTTATCATATTTCCTCGGCTTGGAGATTCATTGATCATCCGATGGTATTTTTGCTTGTCAACGAAAATACATTCTAGATTTGATTGAGCCTGCTCAAATGGAGACATGTGATCCCTGTTCAACACCCATGGAACAAAATTTGAAGCTGCGACAGATAGGGGTGTACATGGGTCGGTTGATTCGGGTTTAACCATTTTAATCACCCAATCCATGCACTACGGTTTGGGAATTATCAAACCCAAACCCACCCAAAAAAATTTAAATCATACGGTTTGTTTCTAATTGGGTTGGGTCGGATTGGCAATATTTTTAAGTAAAAACCCAACCCAACATAAAATATATAATTATTATACATCATAAAAATATTTTATAACTAATTAAAATTTCAAACAAATAAACCGAGGTGAAAGGTATCAAAATTCACAAATGTTGTTTGAATTTTAATAAAATGTGATTTACTTCAACATATGTCTAGTTTTTTTACGATATTTGTCGAAATAGGCTAAAAAGGTTATAAACAAACGCATCCATAATATGTTATTCTATTAAAATTATACACAAGAAAAATGATTACATGAATCATAACTATATTCAATTTATGTCTAAACTTTAAGTCGAAGAATGCATTAGACTAGGGAGACCATGATAGAAAACATGGCAAAATATCTTAATTTTCTCATAAGTATGGCTATATACGACATAAATATTTTTTAGATACGAACTCATACTAATAGTTGGAACACGGGTTGGGTCGGGGTTCTACGGGTTGTGTAATCCAAAATCTAAACCCAACCCAAAAGAGGCGGGTTGTACAAAAGAAAACCCTCACCCAACCTAAAATCTTCGGTTTTAGCGATAAATACGGGTGACTTGGGTCGGGTTGGATGGGTGGGTTGGTTTGCGGGTGTATTTGTTCAGTCTAGTGACAGAGTGATGGTGATCTTCTTCATGATGGCTCACATTATCGCAGCTTGGTTGAGAGTTTAATTTATCTCATCCATAGTGGCCCCGGACATTTCGTACGCCGTACAGGTGGTTAGTCAGTTTATGTATGCTCCTCAGACTTCTCACATGATTACGGTACGCCGTATCCTGCTCTATTTGTGTGGTACTCATGAGGTCGAACTCTTCTTTCCTTCCACTGGTAAGTCTGTGATTGAAGCTTATGCTTATGTCGATTAGGCTGGGTGCTTAGACACTAGGTAGTCTACTTCTGGGTGGTGTGTGCGAATTAGTGAAGCCTTTCTGTCTTGGAACTGTAAGAAGCAGGAAAGGGTGTCAAAATCCTCCATTGAGGCTGAGTATAGGTCCATGTCAGAGGTTACTTCGGAACTTGTATGGTTACATCGCCTTGTTGCGGAGCTTGGTTTGGAATGTACCTTTCCTATGTGTTTATATGCAGATAAACACTAGAGCGATTCAGATAGCTACGAATTCGGTTCTTCATGATCGCACTAAACACATAGAGGTACATGTTCATTATATTCATCAGTTGGTTACTGAAGGCAAGATAGAGCTGTCCTATATCACTTCTGAAGAGCAGATTTTCGACTTACTCACGAAAGTTGTGGCCTCTACTAGACACTGGTTTCTGGCATACAAATTGATGTTGCGCAAGCATCATCAATTTGAGGGAGGGTGTTAGAAGTATAAGTAGTTAAATATAATTAGTCTATAATTATTTCGTAATTAGCTATTGCTACGCGTGTGATATGGTTTTGCGATTAGGGTATATATTGTAGTAATAGCCGCCTTTGTAACCTAAGAACTCTCTGATAATATGATTTGACTCTAAAAGGTTGCTCCTCTCCGTGGATTATTCTCAATGATACTCATTGAGAATACCACATAAATCTTGTGTTGGTTCTTCTCTTGATTACGCTTGACAGGATCTCGTGCGTTGCCACTATGCTAATCGGCAGGGTTGTCTTCGTTTCAGAGCAGACAGGGAACGAAACTTGACGAACGTTGCACTCACTTCCAAGAGCCACTATCAACCTTCCCCCACTTTTGGCTAGACAAGAGAAGGTGAAAGCGTTCTCCCACTTGAGGTGAAACATCGGAATCGGGCGGGGCTCGATTTTCGTGGAAGGTCAGGAGTGGAGGGGGTTCATGAAGACTAGTTGGCTGCTGGTGGTGGGCGAAGATGAGAGTTGGCAATAGAAGGCAAGGTTGAGAATGTTGGGCGACGAGTTCAAGATGAGAGGACGAGGTTGAGAATGGAATTAACCAATTAGGGTTCATGTTTCTCCAATGTGGAGTTGAAGATTTGGAATGGAGATCGATGTTGAGAAGCATGTGGATGGGGAATAGGGATGTCAGGCGATTTTGCCTAAACCATCTCCATTTTCAAATATCCAAACCCATACCCGTCTCATACCCATACGAGGGAAGATTTTGTACCCCATTCCCATACTCGTGGATTTCAAGTACCCGTGGGTAATACTCCGCGCTGTACATCCACCATTAATATACTTAAATTTTAACATGTGGATTTTCAATCATAACACTAAATGAACCTTATAAATCATGAAATCAACGAAGATACAATCATGCTTAATATGGTTCAAAGCATGTGATATTAAAATATCAATTAATCCGTAAGATAGAGTATAATATTATCTAAATAATTCATCTCCGACTCTTATACATCTACTCACAAATAAATAACTAACATTATTGTTAACCATGGGAAAAAGTGAAAAAAGTAAAGAGACAATCGAGGGAATTAGATTTAGTTGGGCGGCCATTCAATTACATTTATACTTTTTTTTTTGAATTACTCGCACTATCATTGAAAAATTAAAATTTGATCATTGCATTTTTTATATGTTGTGAAATATTTTGGCGAGGCGAGTATGGTATGGGGCAGGGAGAGTAAAACCACACTCGTCCCATACCCATCAAACTTTTTTGTTGGTTTTAATCCATACACACTCCATAATCAGTCAATGCGTGTATTCCCCGCATTGACTGTGTCGGGAGCAATCGGCTATTCGTTGTCGCGGGTTTGATCGCCATACCTAACGGAGAAGGAAAGAGTCAAGTCATCGTTGTTTGACTACTCAATTCAACTGGCCGGTTAGTTATAGATGCATCGGTAATCGTCGGTTAGTAACCGGTAACCGTCAGTTAGCAACTTACCGCAAATTCCAAACCGAAACCGAGATCAACACATTTTTTTATTATTTTTCGGTGAGCCAAATACCAATAATTTTCAGTTTGATTTTCGGATTAACTTACTAACCGACAACCCGTTAGCAGCCATGATTATACATCATTCTTCATCATATATCAATTTATCTATGACCAAACCAAACCAAACCATCCCTTGCCAAAATAGCAAAAATGAAATGACAAGGCGCCAAACAAGTAGAGAATCCCCATGGATCCAGAAAAGTGTTCTTCCAGGGAATGGCTAGGATCCCTCTCCTCTTCAGGAACAAGACAACAACTTTACTTACTGGGAGCGGTGTTTGCATCCTCCTTGTTTTATCTGCTTCTTATTATTGCGGACAACTCCTGCTTCTTTCCGCCGCTCCCAATTTCAGGACTATTGTTCGTGGGGAGCAGCCGACTGCGCTGCGGCCAGCACCTCCACTACTTCCATCCTACATTAGGGTTTCGGGAAGTCGTAATTAATTTACCTGCCTAAACTTAGCCTTGGAAATTGGGATTCCTATTTCACACTTGTAAGTAGTAATTGTTCGTATCTATCTAATAATCATCCCTTTCTCTTTCCCGCGTGACCATCGGCCCCCGGAAAAAGAAAGGGAAAGAAATCTCCGTAATCATGCACCAAGCCCCTTTCCGTCATTTCACAAGCTAGGCTCTCTCTTCATTTTCTTTATAATAATAATATAAATTAATTAGCATTATTTTAGTTCCTTTTCGGCTTTTTTTATTATTTCTTTCTCCATTTTTCCCCCTTCCCTCCCTCCTGCTCTGCTCCTGCCAAAGGGAAAGACTTCTTGCAGAGCAGAGTGACTGTGGAAAGAAAGAGAGAGAGAAAGACGGACAGAAAAAGAAACACAGAGAGAGAAAAGCAGCATAACAAAAAAAAAAAAAAAAAAAAAAAAATACAAAAAAGCACTCTCCGTCTCCGACCTTCACAGAGATCATTTCCGACTCCCAAACCCTAAATCAGTAGAAACTAGAAAGAAGAGCTCTGTTCTCTTCTCCAAATGCAAAATCTCTCGCATTACTCTCGCCACCCGAGCAGCGGCGGCACTTCAGCTGCAGCTGCCGCTTCCCTCTCTAAGAACAAGTCCTCCTGCAGCAATGGCGCCGCCACCAGCTTCGCCTCCGCTTCCAAGTCCGTGTACGACGACGTCTTCGGCGGCCCGCCCAAGTCCGGGCACCCGACGCTCTCGCCTCGGCCTGAGGACTACGCCGAAATATTCGGCGCCTTCCACGCTCCACGCGCCTCCTCGATTCCCGTGCTCGATCTTCCTTCCGTCGACGGCGAGGCCGAAATGTTCTTCGATGTACGGAGCTCCGGTTTCGACTACCGGGAGGTGTTTGGAGGGTTCAGCTCCCCGGATTTCGCCGTCTCTTATGATGAGTTGGTGAGGATGGACCGTTCAAATGCCGGCCGCGGCTGCTCCTCTTCAGACGAGGCTTGGTAAGGAGACCAAAATGCTTTCCTGTTCCTTCTACGCGCTCTCCACTTCTTCTTCTTCTTCTTCTTCTACTATTATTATTTATTTGTTTAATCCTTTTCTTTTTTCTCCCTTCCTTTTGCGGCTACCTGTGTCTTCCCCTGTTTGAAGGTAATCGCCAGGTGAATGTGCTGCTGCTTAGTTGTTGCGAGGAATCGGAGCATTTATTGTTACTTGTTTTGTTTTTTTGTTGTCTCCACTTTTGTTTTCGTCTCAAGTTTCTGTGTCGCCTTACAGTAAGTAGTACTTTTTTACATTTACTTTGTAAGTTAGCCCAGAAATGCTTCATCTGTTGCTTCAGCTATGCTCTGCTTTGAATTGTGATTTGTGGGCAACTTCTTGGGATTACTCTGGTAAGTTGTTCAGTTTGTTGGGGGATTTCTGTCATGGGGAAGATGACGGTAAACCTTTTGCCAGCTTACTAAGTCTCTTTGGCACAGAATGGCAAGTCTTTTTTTGTGTGGTGAAACTGATAAATTTAATTGACTTAGAAGCTACTGGGGCTTTTGGTATAACAACCGGCAACTACTGGTTCTGTTGTTAATGTATGGATGGTCTTTTACCATATTAGAACTTGTCAAGTCTGCAACATTACCATCGATGTTTGGTCAGTGATCTGATCCGGAAGCTGGTTTTTCTGATGATTTATTCTCAGGACTCCAGAAGGTGCTGAATATCTCTCCGAAGAGTCGGACGATCCTGCAAAAGATCATTTCATGTCCAATGGTGATTTTTACGATCCAGTTGATGGTAGCCTGGAGTTCAATATATCCTATCACAATGCCGCCCAAACAAGCAATGGAGATTTGCCTAATGGGACTACCCATGTAGCTCCCCTGCACCATGCATTTCCTGGGTACGCAGTTAAGGTTGAAAAGTCTAGTTCATTACAGCCTGATGATGAATACCCAGCTCTGCTGGTCAGCGATGATGGTCATCTGAATATAGACTTCAGTGGAGAAATGTTGAACGGAAGACATCTTAAGAAGACAATGTCACACCCGTCTTTCGTGGCGTCTGCTGGAACTGACATTAGGCCTCAAAAAGAGTATAATAGAAATATCTCTCTTCCCGGTAGCGAGTTTGTGACAATCACAGAATTCAGTTTGCAAACCGAGCCCTCTCACTTGCCACCACCTGCTAGACCTCCACCTCCACCTGCAGTAGATGTCAAAATGAAGACTTCTGATAAGCTGGGTGTTCCGAGTCATAAAGTTGCTGCTCATGAACATATCTCAAGTGATTGTTCTCCACCATACTTTGATGTAGAGGTTGATGCAAGTTCAGCTGCTGCAGCGTCTGCAGCTGCCATGAAAGAGGCGATGGAGAAAGCTCAAGCAAAGCTCAAGAGTGCAAAGGAATCATTGGAGAGGAAGAGAGATGGCAGTCATAGACGTGCTGGATCGGGGTCCAGAACTGGAAGACGAGACACGGAAGGTAAGGGACCCAAAGTGGCTGGTGGATTAGGGATTGCAAAAGACGAGCATGCGCATGGAAAAGAGGAGAATGGAGGTGAATTTTTCAGCTTAACTGAGACACAAGACTTGGAGAAGAAAACTGATCCAGTCTCAGATTCCTTACATGGGAACAGGGCTAATGCTTTACCCAGAACTGCTGAAGAGATGAATGATAGGGCATCTTTATCCTCTCAAGGCTATGATGACATAGACGGAGGTGAATGGAAAGAAGCTGCACATTTTTTTGAGCTGGTGCGGGAGAAATTTGACAAGCCTTCTGGCCAGGCAAACGATGAAAACGTTCCATTACAGAACATAAATGCCAATGGGCATGAAAAGAAAGGGAAAAAGGTGGCTGCTGATGTACTGGAGCATCAGTGTGACTGGAATGCGAAACAAGGGAAGGTGGATTCCACCATTGCTGGGCATGGGAAAAAACTAGATATGTCAAATGAAGAGAAACGACGTCAAATAACTCAAGAGGCTCCCACCCGAGTAGAGAATGACAAGAAATCTAGAAAGCACTGGCAGCGGCCTGTCGAAACTGGAAATAAACATTCTAGAGGCGATGGATTAGTAAAGCACCAGAGTGCAGTAGATATTCAATTGAAGGAAAGTACTCTGGGATCAAAACATGTTATGAAGCATAGAGAAGAAGAAGAGTTGCTACCAAAATGGGTTGGTAAAGTCTTGGAGGGGGAGATAAAATTTGACCAGGACAGAGAAGATTTCCAACAGGAACAGATTCAAAATTTTGAGATTCCTGTAGAGGAGAAAAACGTCAAAGTGTTACTTGAGCAGGAAGTGACTGAGAAGAAACAGAAGGAGGGTAAAGAAAGGGAGAAAAATGAGAGAAAACGAAAAGAGGCTCTCCTAAGGGAGGAAAATGAAAGAAGGTTGATTGAAGATCTTGAGCGTCTAGACAACGAAAGGAGAATACAAGAGACTATTGAGCTGGAAGAAAATGAAAGGAAACTAAGAGATTTAGCAATCGAGCTGGCAGAAAGTGAAAGGAAATGTAAAGAGACTCTTGAGAAGGAAGAAAATATGAGAAAAGCGACAGAGGCTATTGAACAAGCAGAGAATGACAAGAAAAAGAGGGAAGCTATTGAACGGGCAGAGAATGACAAGAAACAAATAGAGGAAAATGAGAATCGACGGGCCGAGGCTCTTGAGAAGGAAGAGGAGTCGAGATCAAGAGTTGGGTCTGCCGAATCAGAAGATATGGAGAAGGAACAAGAAGAGGTAGAGGTTTTAAGGGGAGAGGAAAAGGTAAATGAAACGTTTGAACAGAAACAGAAGGGGAAGATACACAAGGATGCATTCGAGATAGAGGAAGTGGAGAACCCACTTGAGGAGGCAGTTAATGAAGCACAGGTTGTAGAGGACATAACTGAAGAGTTTTATAATGTGGAACTGTTACAGAAGCTGGATGAGGTAATCAAAGAAACGACAATCAGCCCACCTCAGGAAGTAGAAGACAGCCAACCAGTACGAGAAGCAGAATGTGAGACTAGTCAACTTGGATGCATCTCAGAAGAAGATGAGTGTGAAGAGGTGATGATGAAGCATAAAAGTATGGGTGATAGTGAATCAGAGGAACCTCACAGTTTCCAGTACCCAGCATTTAAACTGAGAGAAGATAAGAAGCTTGAAGAAGCAGAGGTACCTATTGGAAAACCGGGAGTATTTTGTTATGGAGTAAATGAGAAGACACCTAGTGATCCAGAACTTGGCAGGAAATCGACCGTTGGGAAGCATGAAATCCTTGAGCAAGGCCAAACAGAATTGTCAGCTGAAGACAGCGATACTAAGAACAAAGCTCAGTGCGATATACCAACAGATGCTGCAAATTTTAGAAATGCAGCGTCGGTGACGGGGAACATGTTTGCAAATGACAAGGTCGAAAGGGAAAAGAACGCGAACAAAGAAGAGACTAGGGATGATTCCCCTTCAGCAAGAGAGACGATTGACGGTGGAATTAAAACAGAGGGCACTCAGCCGCTTGCATCCTCAGAAGTTCAAGGAAGCACCAAAAGAACAGCTCAGCAAGCTAATGTCAGTCAAACCATGGAAAGAAAAGTGAAGAACCTTAACCAACCTGCTCCATCAGACGGCATAGAAGCTGCACGGTTGAAAAGAGAGAAAGATTTGGAAATGGAACGTCTTAGAAAGATGGAAGAAGAGAGGGAAAGGGAAAGGGAAAGAGAGAAGGACAGGATGGCTGTCGACAGGGCAATACTTGAATCTCGTGAGAAGGCGTATGCTGAAGCCCGCGAGAAGGCAGAGCGAGCAGCTGTGGAAAGGGCAATGAACGAGGCCCGTGAAAGATTGGAGAAGGCATGTGCAGAAGCTCGGGAGAAATCCTTATCCGATAAGACAGCAGGAGATCCCAACAAATTTAGGGCTGCAGAGGCTCGAGGACGGGGGTTTGAAAGAGCCAGGACTGAGAAGACTGCTTCTTTCGGGGGGAACAATGGGAGGCAAAGCTCTTCTTCTTCCTCCGTGAGTGCTCTCCTAATCCCCTGCCTTTATTATTATTATTGTTATTTTTTCTCTTGGTGCAATGGGCAGCTATTAAACGTTAAACTTGCATGAACTACAGGAGGCACAGTTCCAGAACGCAACCACAGCTAATGGGTACAGAAACACATTTTCGTCGGCTCACAATGGTATTAAATACAACCATTTTTCCTTTCAATCGGTGCAGAACATCTTACTTCAGATGTCGTAATGGTCTTGCTTCTTAACCTTCTATGAAAAGGTTCCAATCGTGGCGAGAGATCTGAAGCAGTTGAAGGTGAATCGGCTGAAAGGTGTAAAGCTAGGTTAGAGCGATACAGGAGAACAGCTGATCGTGCGGTATGGGTTTAATCAGGCCTCAGTCTGTGGTTAAAAGTTTGTGTTTAATTTGGAAGTAGTTTCTTTTACTCTCTAACTAACTACTGGTTTCTTCAGGCAAAAGCTTTGGCGGATAAGAACATGCGTGATGTTCAGGCTCAAAGAGAACAAGCTGAGAGAAATGTAATGGCCCATCTGCTACTTGTTCTAAAGCTGGAACGAAACACTGTTGCTTTTGCTTTTATTTCTTTTAGCTCATAGCTCTCGTGTCGTTGGCAGAGGTTGTCGGAAGCGCTGGATGCTGAGGTTAAGAGGTGGTGTAGCGGGAAGGAAGGGAATTTGCGCGCATTACTTTCAACCTTGCAATATGTAAGTGATCGTCTTCGGTGATTAGCTCGATGCTTCCTTCATCTTTGATTGCTTCACAATACCTGAAGCTAGAAAAGAATGACTTACTAGTTACTACCCTTGTCTCCATCAGATTCTGGGGGCCGATAGCGGTTGGCAGCCAATACCACTGACGGAAGTAATCACAGCAGCTGCAGTAAAGAGAGGTTACAGGAAAGCCACTCTGTGCGTTCATCCCGACAAATTACAACAGCGCGGTGCAAGCATTCAGCAGAAGTACATATGCGAGAAGGTCTTTGATCTCCTCAAGGTTCGCCTGCTTGCCAATGGAGCCCGAGTGTCTTCCTTTCCCCAAAAATTTCGGGTTGTTTTTTACCTCTTCCCGTAGGTGATGAATATGTGTTATTGGTCTTTGTTTGCAGGAAGCTTGGAACAGATTCAATTCAGAGGAGAGGTAGCCTTCCCTGTAAAGAGCGGTTGGGGCTGCGGGGTGGGTGATCATCTTCCCCCATTTTGTAAATTCATTTCTCTGGTCGTAGGTAAAACAAGTAAATATACATATATTTATCAAGATACGTGTGTGTAATGTCGATTTCGAAATGGTCAATGGACAGACAATAGGAACTGGAAAACGAAAATCAAATGCCAGAGGGAAAGGAAAGCCGCCCAAATTCACCGGTTGATTTGTGGTAAAATGTCTTGCAGGCTTAACCAAGTCCTTTATTTTCTCTATACTGTTTTAGCGGTTTTATTTGACCTGCTGTTCATAATAAAATTCACTTAATTAGTTAATTATAAAAGATATTCTGTACGTACGTATGATCATGGTCAACCCTTTTGAGGAAGAATTGAATGTTTTTTTTTGTGGGTATTTACAAACTTGTCAATCGGATATACTACTAGATAAAAATGATCGGTTACCATAGAAATGAAGATTTACCAATGAGTTTAAGTGTGTGTTTTCTGTTTTGAGATACTAAAATGAGGAAATGAAGTCTTTGAGTTTGTTAATTTTTGAAACATCGTAGTTTCTTTTATTGAATAACTAAGTTAATTAGTTAAATGGATTCCATGAGCGACAAATATCTGTTTAGGATGTTAACGAGAGGGAACTTGAGCTAAAACTAAAGCTCCAAACATCAAAACTCAAAAGTAGTAAAGAGAGTTTAAAATTAAGTTTGACATCAAGCTTGTCAATTCACGGGCTGATCCGGAGCCGGTCGAGCTAGTGGGTTAAAAGTTAATGGGTTACCCGTTTTTATCAAATCTCATATAACATATGAGTTATAACATATAATATTCTACCAAAATAACATATCGTACTTAGATTTAGATTCAACATATAGTAAAAATTCACACACACTTATATAACATCAATATTCAAATGTTCAACTTAGGATTCCAAAGATTGAGTTAGGCGAAAAAAAAAATCGGAAAATAGGCGCATTTCGCAAACCAAAGAAAAAAATGACACAATTTGACCTCCAACCCGATACCTTGTTGCGGTCGACCCGGGGGTGCATGCGACCCGTTTTTCTCACCGTGCCAGGGTCAAAGTGGGTCAACCCATAGGTTGACAACCTTGGTAACAACTAACAAAGTACAGAGCTCCCTTGATATTAACGAACCTGTATTTGAATGATCAAAATGGAAACGGAGTACAGAGCTTGAGACATGAGTTTTTTTTATCGGAACCTGTGAGATAATAAAGGTGGGCAATGAGTGGGTTGGGTGTGTTTTGGTTTCAAATTGACCCACCCGCATACTAGCGAGTTGGAATAATTATGACCCGCAATCCACTCACATACTTTTGCGGGTTGGTTGGGTGTGGCGGATGGGTGCGGTTGGGTCACGGATCAACCCGCAAAAATAATTATCCAACTAGCTATTACGAAAGTTGACTAACATTTATAATAAGTTCATAGGAAATTAGTAAGATTGTATAAATAATTTGTGATTTTGATACAATTAATAATTTATACTTTGCATCCCAATATTTAATGGATATTAATAATTATTTGCATACTAATATTCAATATCTAATGAATATTGCACAACACAATAACCAATAATAGTAGTGAAAACTATTCTTTATTCTCTACGTTTTGAAGTATATGGTCAGACTGTTGTGTAGTTCGAAAATATGATTAATATTGGATACTATAAGAAACGACTTTTTTCATGTAAAAATAGAATGTGGGTCATACGGGTGACCCGCAATCCACCCACCACCCACCCACATAAGTGCGGGTGAGTGATTTATCAATCTGCAATCCACCCACATCAATCACCCACTGCGTGAGGGTCGGGTTATTTGCGGGTATCGATATCAATCTGCGGATTAACCACCCACGTGCCCACCCCTAGGTAATATATTAACCAGTGGAAGTGGTTACATTGTCCAATAGTAACTGGTCAACAATATAGACCGACGATCTATCAAACCAAACCTCATGCTCATTCCATGTCGTTGCTACCTGTGCCATTAAGTGTGCAACCTCATTTCCTGTACGCCCCACATGCTGCCAAGACGACCTCCCATAGATATTAGATACCTTCTTATACTCCTACAAATTGTGTCGACTTCGGTATGGACAGAGGCTGCATCTTCAAGCTTATGTACAGGCTGCAAACTATCAACTTCAAGGATCGAATTGAGAACATTGTTCTGGTGAGCCAGCTGGACCCCGAACTCCATCGCCAAAGTCTCAACCTCTTCCACCTTCCAAGTGCATATCACTCTCTTCGCTACAGCCATTATGAACTTCCATTTTGAATCTCTAGCAACCATACCCAACCCTATGCCACCGTCAGCCAAGAAACCAACATCCGTGTTGATTTTCACTCGGCCTGGATTGGGTTTCCTCCACTGTACTGCCGTCACCGTCGCCACCGGGATCGCAGTCCGCTGTTGTTGGTTTTGGTACTCTTCCAAGAAGGCTTTCGCTCTTGGCACTATCTTCTGCTCCGGTAGCCAGAGCCCATTGAAGAGATGAGCGTTGCACTCTCGCCATAGAAACCAAAGGAGGGTACACCATCTTTCAAGGCCTTCGTTTGGGTTTTCTTCCATCGCCTTCACCATCCATTCATAGCAATTTTCACTATCATTGCACAGAAAGAGATCAACCATATCTGATGCTCTCCACAGACTAGATACCCACGCACATTCACCGAACATATGAGCTTGTATCTCCTTCAAATTACAAAAAGGGCACTTGTCCCCCCATTTTGTACTCTTGGTACTGATATGGTTCCTGGCGGGCAATATATCTCTCATGAATCTCCATACAAAATGCTTGGCTTTTGGTGGAGTATTCATGGCCCAAAGCCTCTTCCAAATCCGCAGGTATCCACAGACTACTAATGATTCTTTATGCTTAAAAGATCGGAGCCACACTTTATAACCATCCTTCACAATATAATCACCTGTGTCATTCTCCGTCCAAATTAAGCGGCCGACTTCCCCATTACCTCGCAGCGGAATATGCAGAATTCTTTCTGCAATGGACGCCGAGAAGCAGCTAGCAATCAGAGCTTGGGACATGATAGAATCTATATAAGACATTAATGTGGTTCACTTAATACAAACATCCAAATTTAAATTATCAAGTTTGTGTAAAGAAAAGGGTAAATACTAAATACAATATCAGCCAACTCTTTTCAAAGTGTTCAAATTATTAGTTATAATTTTTGAAATACAAATTATTAGCCATTAACTATTGTTGCGGGTCAAAATATGGTTAACAACCCGTTACCGTTATTAATTTTGTAATGGAGACGACCACGTAAGCAAAAATAATATTTTTTATTTATAATTTTTTTTAAATGGAAAAAAATATCGAGCTTCTTAGTCCTCTTTCTTCCTCTTTCATCCCCGGAAAGATTTTTTTATAGTAACCTGTGCTTGTAGCTTTTATTGTGGTAAGACAGTTACATCATCCAGCCGTAGCTGGTCAAACAAAATCATCGGTGGCCTGTCAAACCCAACCACAATTTCATCTCATCCCGTCCTAAATGTAGCCATTAAATGAGCTGCACAATTCTCTTCACGCTAGACATGATGCCACGTTCCTCTAGTCGTATTGGCCAACAGCCGCCTCACATTCTGACACACCATTCCTACTTCTGTATGGTCCGTAATTGCACTGTGAATATGTTGGGTCACAAGAAGTCTATCCATTTCAAGCATCGGTCTTACCAGTCCAAGTTGAACCGCCAATTGGCATCCAAACTCAGCTGCCAAGGCTTCTCCCATCTCCACCGAGAAGTCCCCCTAGTTCGCATAGCCGCTGCAAATAGGAAAAGGCCATTTGAGTATGTTGATGTGACTTGAATCAGACTATCAGTCTCGCTACGACTGGTATGGGCTCAATGTTATTTGGGTTTGGGTTCTGGGCCTGGTCTGTAACCGTTTCCTTTGCCAGATTGGATTAGGTTTAGACCCACGTGGAGAAATACTATAAATACTTCTCATACTCCTCTGTAATCTCCTCGATATAGTGAAACTGGCTCTCTCTCGCCCATGGACGTAGCTAACACACATCGTGTTAGTGAACCACGTAAATCGTGTGTCTGTGTTTTTCGTTTCTCGCTTTCGTATTCTTGCTTTATCGATTCCGGCGATTTCCCGATCCGTAGCAGCGCGTTTATAACAAGTGGTATCAGAGCCGCGGCTGGAAATCAGGCTAGGTTTTTCGATTCAGAAGAATGACGTCGGTAAACATGAAGATCGAAAAGTTCACGGGGAAGAACAGCTTCACTATATGGCAGATCAAGATGCAGGCTTTACTAAAACAACAAGGGCTGCGGGGGCCGCTATCTGCGAAACAGAAGAAGGCCGCGGTCGATGACGATGAGTGGAATACCCTGGAGGAGAAGGCCCACTCGACCATCATGCTATCGTTGTCTGATGACGTCATCATTGAAGTCGCTGCTGAGAAGACTGCCGTGGGCTTGTGGTTAAAGTTGGAGAGTCTGTATATGACGAAGTCCTTAACCAACAAGCTGCATCTCAAGCAACGATTGTTCAGCTTGAGGATGCAAGAAGGTACTCCTTTGAGGGAACATCTCGAACATATTAACTCTATTTTGCTAGATCTGCGCAATATAGATGTTCAAGTTGATGACGAGGATGCTGCCCTAATCCTGCTGGTTTCTTTGCCGAGTTCATATGAGAATTTCGTTGATTCTTTTATTGCTGGAAAAGAAAGCGTGTCGTTGGAGGATGTCAGGTCTGCTCTTCATACGAGAGAGATCAGACATAAGGCGTCCGGATCTGGACAGGTGGTGAGGCATCGGGTTTGGCTGTTACAGGTGGAAAGGGAAAGAAGAAATATGGTAAAGGGAATTCGAACAAGAATTCCAAGGGTCCCGGTCCACAGCCAGGTGATGCTTGTCACAACTATAAGGAAGTGGGGCATTGGAAGTACAATCGTCCCAAGAGAAGAGGGCAACAGAAGAAACAAGGTTCAGTTGCCGTGGCAGAAGTGGACAACAGTTCTGAAGACAATCTCGCCTTGGCTGTAGATGAGAAGGCACATCGTGGGGATGTGTGGTTTCTGGATACTGCAGCCTCATACCATATGTCTCCGAACAGGGATTGCTTCAAAACCTACGAGCAGATAGATGGTGGTAACGTGGTCATGGCTAATGGAGTTGTCTGCAAGGTTGTTGGAATCGGGTCCATAAAGGTTCGGACACATGATGGTTCGTTCTGTACCGTGAATGATGTCAGGCATGTTCCACGAATGACAAAGAACCTGATCTCCTTGAGTCTACTCGACAGCAAGGGTTTCAGTTTCAAAGGAAAAGGTGGAGTTGTGTATGTCTGCAAAGGTTCAAGGAAGGTGCTGAGGGCATGAAGCGTGGGACCTTGTATGCATTACAAGGGTCTGTGTTGTCTGGTTCTACTGCAGTTGCATCGTCTCAGGTTCATCAGGAATAATAACCCCTCTCTGGCACATGAGACTGGGGCATATGAGTGAACGAGGGATGCAAGTTCTGTCGAAGAGGGATCTTCTTAGCGGGCACAAGGTACAGAATTTGGAATTCTGCGAGCATTGTGTGTTTGGGAAGCTACATCACAGCAAGTTTCCCAAGAAGGGTATCCACCGAACGAAGGGGATACTGGATTACCTCCACTCCGACTGTTGGGGTCCTTCACGAGTTGAATCCATTGGAGGCAGCAGGTATTTTCTGTCTATTATTGATGATAATTCAAGATTTACTTGGATTTTCATGATGAAGCAGAAAAATGAGGCTTTCACGAAGTTCAAGCAGTGGAAGACAATGGTGGAGAATCAGACTGGGAAGAAGATCAAGAAGCTGCGAACGGATAATGGTCTGGAGTTCTGTAATTCTGAGTTCAACGAATTCTGCAAGGATGAAGGGATTGCCCGTCATCAGACTGTGAGAGATACACCCCAGCAGAATGGCGTTGCAGAAAGGATGAACCAGACATTGTTGGAGAGAGCACGGTGCATGCTCTCTAATGCTGGACTAGAGAGAAGATTCTGGGCAGAAGCAGTGAACATGGCGTGCTTCCTGATCAACCGTGGACCTCACACAGGTATTGAGTTGAAGACTCCTTATGAGGTGTGGTATGGTAAGCCTGCTGATTACTCTTCAATGAAAGTTTTTGGGTGTCCTGTTTATTATCATGTGGATGAGGGTAAACTGAACCCAAGGGCAAAGAAGGGTGTATTTGTGGGTTATGGAGATGGAGTTAAGGGATTTCGAGTCTGGTCACCTTCTGAGCATCAGGTTATACTCAGCAGAAATGTGATATTTGATGAGAAGTCTATGTTTAACCCCATGTTGAAGGTTACTGTTGTTGAAGGTAGAAGGAATGTTGATAAGCAGGTGGAGCTGCAAACTCTCAATGAGAGTGAGTTTGAGCACCAAGGTGGAGAAGATCAACATGAGGATGTTTCTACAGAGCCAGAAACTTCAAAGTCCAGTGCAGGAGCTCAACAGTCTATAGCTTCCGGTAGACCAAAGAGAGAGACTGAAGGAGTACCTCCAGAGAGGTATGGTTTGAGGACATGGTGGCGTATTCATTTCAGGTTGCTGAAGAAGTGGATGCAGGTGAGCCACAGTCCTATAGAGAAGCCGTTTCGGGTGGCGAAGCTGATCAGTGGCTTGCCGCAATGGGAGATGAGATGGAATCCCATGACAGGAATCAGACTTGGGAGCTAGTCAATCGACCACAGGGAAGGAAGATTGTTACAAACAAGTGGATCTACAAGAAGAAGGAAGGAGTCACTTCTAAAGAGGGCATGAAATTTAAAGCTAGGGTGGTTGCACGAGGCTTCTCGCAGAGGGAAGGAGTTGACTACAATGAGATTTTCTCACCAGTGGTCAGACATACTTCCATCAGAGTGCTACTAGCAATAGTGGCACATTATGACTTGGAGCTCGAGCAGCTAGACGTGAAGACAGCTTTCCTACATGGAGAGTTGGAGGAAGAAATTTACATGACTCAGCCAGAAGGATTCGAGGTTCCGGGAAAAGAAGACTATGTTTGTAAGCTGAAGAAGTCCTTGTATGGACTTAAGCAATCTCCGAGGCAATGGTACAAGAGATTTGACAGTTACATGCTTGAGCTGTGCTACAGCAGAAGTCCATATGATTGTTGTGTGTATCACAACAAGGTGGAGGAGGTTCGATGATCTATCTTGTTCTGTATGTGGATGATATGCTCATAGCTGCGAGGTTGAAGTCTGATATCCAGAAGTTAAAGGGGCTTCTCAGTGCTGAGTTTGAGATGAAGGATTTGGGAGCTGCTCAGAAGATCTTGGGTATGGAGATTTACAGGGACAGGTTGAAGAAGAAGCTTTTCTTGTCACAGAAGAGCTACATCCAGAAGATACTGTCGAGGTTTGGCATGTCTTCAGCAAAGCCCTTAAATACTCCTAGTGCTTCAAATGTTCATCTATCCTTAGCTTATGCACCACAGTCAGAGGCTGAGAAGGAGTACATGTCGAGAGTCCCATATGCTAGTGCAGTAGGTAGCTTGATGTACGCTATGGTATGCACTAGACCCGATCTTGCACATGCTGTTAGTGTTGTCAGCAGATTTATGATACAACCTGGGAAGGAGCATTGGCAGGCTGTGAAGAGGATCTTCCGGTACCTTAAGGGTACACCTGATGTGGGGATTAGCTTCGGAAGTGATACAAAGTGCTTGGTGTCTGGGTATTCTAACTCGGACTATGCTGGAGATGTTGACACGAGGAGATCGATGACCGGTTATGTATTCACTCTTGGGAGTTCTGAAGTGAGCTGGAAGGCAACTTTGCAGTCGGCGGTGACATTGTCTACTACTGAGGCAGAGTATATGGCATTAACAGAAGCTGCTAAGGAGGGAATATGGTTGAAGGGACTGGTTGGTGATCTTGGTCTACATCATGATCAGGCAGTGGTGTATTGCGACAGTTTGAGTGCAATATGCTTGGCCAAGGATCAAGTCCACCATGAGAGGACTAAGCACATCGACGTGAGGTATCATTTCTTGAGGACAGAGAAGAGG